AACAGCATTCTGTCCCCAAGCTCTGCCTTGCAGTGACAAATAAGGCTTTTCCCCTTTTCTCTGGGTATGCCCCCAGTTGGCTTTACAGGGTGCAGTCACTGCAGTTTTTCACTCCCTTTTGTGACGTTTTGTTCAGCTTGGGCTCAGTTGTGAAGGACAAATACCCTCTTCTTCCCTTTCCTTTTCTTCCCTTTGGACTCACTGCCTCCTGCCCCAGGACTTTGCTCTCTGGATCAGCCCTGGGCTGGGGATGCAGTGACAGGTCCTTGCCATGCTCATCTCTCCTCAGGATGCACTTTGTTCTTTCCTCACTTTTTTAATAGATTCATATTTCATGGTACTTACATGGTGTTTCATGACAGTGTTTATGCTGCATTCTCCTACTGAGCTGGTATGAGGTGTACAGAAAGGCAGGATGCAGCTGATGCAGCTGCCCTTCACCCACAGATAGCACTCGCTGCTGCAGCCAATCTGATGGTGTCCATTACACACCTTCCTGTGATGCTGGGGAGCTGACAGACAGAAGGTACTGCCATCTCATCAGTCAACATTGTTGTCCTCTGTCAGGAACACCGCCTGGCTGCTCTGACTGCAGCATCCTGGTTGCTCTGTGCGCTGCTTTTAGCAGAGCTGCCATACATTATCCCTCTCTGAAGTTGCTCCCTGACCCCACTGTGGCTTTCACCTACCTTGGCCTTTCTACAATTTCCTTTGGCTGCTGTGGGCTCATCTGGTCCAACACACAGAGAGACCTTTGAGATTTAGCATATTTTGTAGACACTGCTGGGATAAAAATGATCCTCTCACCCACCTTTGTGGAAAACACCTCTCCATTCTCTGGTGCTTCACAATCTGTACATATTACACCCATAAAACTGGGCCACTGAGGCTGTACCAGCACTCAGTGATGGTGAAAGTAGAAAAGATGCAGCATAAAAAGGTCACAAATGGGAGGGTTTGGGGCTGGACTATGGAATTTTAGGCTGCAGAGGTCTTCAAAGCTCAACCCATGGCCCCAAACCCAACCCATGGCCAGAACCCAATTCATGTCCATAAAGCCAAACCATTGCAGCAGTGTCACCAAGTACAACCCTGACCCCAACTCTGTGGCATTGTGGTCACATGGCAGCAGTGTTTCCCTAGATGACAACAGGGAAGTTAGTTTTACTCCCAGCCCCATTTTGTGGACACCTTGCCACCCATTCCAATTAGGGGGAGTAATTGAAGATTGGAGCAGCCTGTAACTAGTTAACATATGCAGATGTGATACTTCTTCCACACTCCATTTGCACACTGAAATAATCTCTGGCAGTGACTTAATTTCCTCTGTTGATTATCTGCAAAGAAACCTACAAAGAGTGTGAGCAGCCCCTGGTCCATCCTGGCTGTGAGCATTTGTCTGGAGTGACTGCCACTGCTTTTTCCTCCTTTCTTTCTGTTTCTGTGGGCTGAAGGCTTGGTATGAAGCACAAATACGGAAATTCACAGTTGCGAAATACGAAGCATTGAGTCAGAGTGAAACGTCACACAATCTTCAGATAGAAAGAACCAAAATGAGGAAAACTGTGGTGCACTGCAAATCACTTGTGGAATCTCTGCAGCTGTCTCATGTCTTCAGCTCATTGCAGTACGTTTTGGTTCCTCCTCGGGGGCGGGGAGGGGGAATCTTTAATGGCTCTTGCCCAAAAGAATGGCTTTCTGACAGTTCCCAATTCACTGTGCATCTGACTGTTACTCATAGACAGCAGCTGGGATCACTGCAGGAGCAACAGATGCTGTGCCTGGTCGTTGGCCACTGGTCCTGGTAGTCAAGGACCACTCTGTGCAGGGTGGGAAAGGGAGCAGAGCCAGAACACAAGGCTTTCCATGGCTGTCCAGCCATGTACCATAGCATGGAATAGATTTCATTTATGTTTATTCATATTCCCTTTTCTAAATCTTGGGGTATATAGCCATTACTTTTCCATTTCATTTACTGTGCAAATGCTGTAGATAGGATAACATAAAAATATAACATAAAAACAGCTTGGTTAAAAATCAGGAAGTATTTCTGGAGAGAGGTGGTTGAGTGATTCTCTGCTCTGGTGGATGTAGATTGGTGGCTCTGAGTGAAATCTTTCCCAGTGTATTGCCTCAGCTGGACAGTTTTTACATTTGCTCCTCAGCATATTAAGGCCATTCATCCCCTGGACAGCCAGCCATAAGCAGAAATTTAGCATGTATTTTACTGACAATTGCACTTGTACAGGGTGAAAAATCCACAAAAATTCACCACAAAAACCCAAGGATAACCAGGGGCTTCAGGGCACACCCTGTCCCATGGCCGAGGACCTCCCACCCCCTGCTGCAACTGAGCTGGTGAAGGAAAGAGCAATCAATGGGCCTTTCTATGTGTAATTAACACTTTAATTTAGGTTAGAAAGAAATTCCAAACCTCCACAAGTGCAAGGGAGAAAACAAACACATCCTAGTCTGGCATCAGCAAGGATTTGAGTTGGTGTTGGTGCTAATGAGTGATGGGGGAGTTGAAAATGCCTGACCCTTCCTCTAGGTAGCTAAGGCTGTCCTCCACCTGCAGCAGTGAATGATAGGTGACAGGTATCATCATGACTTTCCTTCCTACATTCAATAAAAACCCTTTTGACACCAATGCGATGACAATTCATGATTCTCCATGGTGTAACATGTCACCTTTATTGCTTCCTCCGTCATGAACCAACCCCAGCATTGCCACGACAGAACTCGCTGATCTCCTATGCTCCAATGTTTCTACAAAGCCCAAACTCTTCCCTTTCTCTCATCACTGAAACCACAGAAACTGGTGTCGTGTGTGCAAAAAATTCATACAAATCTCTTTTTCATCCCTGAAGACCCACCTGCAAAATGGCAATGGCAGCACAATGCTTCAGGCACAGGTTTATGACAGCTGTGATGCTGGAGGCATAAGCAGAGTGGCAGTACCTGACACTGATCATTACCCTTTCAAGCTGATGCAATTACCCTAATCAAGGTTTCTTCGATGCTGAACTTTGGTGTTTAAAAGTACAAACTTTCCATAATCAATCTTTAGTAGTTAAAATTTAGGAGGAGCTGAAGGAAACTGGAAAAGAGAACCACTCTGGACTGAGGTTAGCTTGTCCTAGCAAAGAGGAATTTTCGGGTTGAGAATGGATATTTCAGAAGCTCCTCCCACACTGCTCAAATGCCCTGGGAGTGGGGCACTGCCAGCGTGAAGGATGCAGTGGGAACCTGTGGGTGGGACTCAGTCCTCTTAGTCCAGATCTGTGGTCTTCTCTGCTCCAATTCCTCTGAACCTGGGGGACCCATCTCTGAGCAAAGCCATTGGGATGACCCAACACTGCCCTGACTTTTCCAGCCTCATCTGCCCCCGTACCCCATATCTCCCCGTATCAACTTCTGCATGCCCCAGCAGGGCTCCTCGCTGCTCCATGGGCTGACAGCTGGGACAGGCCCTGGACACTGGATTCCCAAAATGCTACTGGCCAACACTTTAACAATTTCTTACAGGGCATTAAAAGATTGCTACACATCTCTTGCCAAACAGATGAGTCTTTCCAAGGAAAGCTGTATTTGATGTGCTCATTGGAAGGCACTGTGCTTCTGGAATGGTTTGTGGCTGTAGGGTTTCCCTGCTCTCCTTACAGCTCCTTAACTCCTGACCCCAGGTAATTTTGGCTACTCAATTGGCAAATGGGAATCTTTTTGCTTTCCCCAGACAGAACATCACAGAGTATTAGCTGCAGAAACCACATATGGCACAACTGCCCAGGGAGGTGGTGAGGTCACCATCCCTGGAGGTGTTCAAGAACTGTGGGGATGTGGCACTGTGCTCAGTGGACATGGCGGGATGGGTTGGAGTTGGACTTGGTGACCTTAGAGGTCTTTCCAACCTCAACAATTCTATAATTCTCTGGCAAAGCAGCCTAGCTGCTGCAGAGGGAGAAAGATACTTGTATTAATCACCTTAACAGCAGGGAATTAAGAAACCTGGGGAGATAAATATACCGGGGTTTTGTTAGATTGATGCTCAAAAAATTATCCAGATCTACTTTGTTTCAAGCTTCTCAGAAGCTGATAGATCTTTGTGCATCTGCAGCTGCCACTTCACTTCTGTAATTTAATCTCTTTGAGGTGCATTATACCAAATAATTATCTTAATGAAGACTCTAATGGGAAAAGAGAGGGAAATAATAGATGTGCTTTGAAGAAATGAAGCTGCAAAGTTGCTTTGTTTTGAAGCTGGCACTGGTTTAGCTCCCTCTCCTCCTGGCTCTTGTCCTTATCCAGGTTCTGATGTGCCTCTTTCAAAAGATATGCTTCAATGATGGATTTTTACATATTAGTTACAATATCACCATTTCTGAGTTTGAAGCAACCCAACACATAAAACTAGCTATTGCTTTAGCAAAGCCCAGCCTTCCACGTCCTGCCCCATCCTGCTCCCTGCAGAGCTCTGGCTCCAATGTCAGGTTTCACTCCACCACTTCTATATCCTCCTGGATATTGGCCTGAGCTGACCTTTTTTTGGCTGCCTTCCTCCTCTTCTGTAGTCCTCCAGCTGCCCTATCTGCTATTCTGGAGAGCCCTGGTGAAGAGATTTCAGCAAGTCCTCACGCACTGATTCCTACTCTCTCCCATGCCCAAGAGGTGCTTCTCGGTGTCACACAGTCTTCAATTTATTTCAGCAGGTTAAAACAACACTTTATATCATAAATGATAAGCATTCTAAATAATAAGTAAATAATAATAAATTAATTAATGCTCCTGGAGATTTTTAAGAGAAGTGTAGATGTGTTACTGAGTGACATGGTCTAGGGCAGTCAGAGGCATGGGCTGATGGTTGGACTGCATGGTTGTTGTGGTCTTTCCAACCTTAATGACTCTGTGATTCTACAATTCATTTTTAATCAACTCTCAAAACTCAAAACTCTGTTTTGTTTTTTTTTGCTTGCTTCCTGTAGGGATCACTTCAGGGAGAAAGGAAGCAGTTGGGTGAGATGATCTCATAGCTCTTTCCAACCTAAAGATTGTATGAATCGATGAAGGGTGCACTTCCTCCAGCAGTGACATGGGAAGGTGAAGGAGCACTTCCTCCACCCATCTCCCACGCACACTTAGCCTTGCATAATGCTGCCAACACCCTCACAGTCATAGGAATTATCTTGGGTTCCTTTTTCCAACATTCCTGGATGAGTTCTAGATTGAATCAAGAAAAGAAAGTGAATGTAGCTCATTTTTTCTCAGATTAATCAAAATATCACTTCTGGCCTTTTTCTCTCTTAAATTGGCAAATACTGCTCCCAGGCTCCTACCACTTCTCTGACTCTGGAGAGTGAATTTTGTGATCCCTTTGCGTATCCAGTTATTGCCACAAGCTCTCTGTCATTCCCTGCATGTCCAAAATTGTCCTTCATTTCTCAGCTGTGTTGTTTCCTGTGCTGCCGGGACAGCTTGCCATAGAGGTAACGTGCCCGCTCATCCTCCCGGCTCTCAAAGAAGGAAGCAGAAATTTTCCTGCACAGGCGGCGTGCGTAGGTCTCCAGAAACACGGTGGCGTAGATAATGCAGAAGAGCAGTCCCACAACCAGCAGCACGGAGGGGTTGGGAGGTATTGGGGGGCTGATCCTGCAGCCGGCAGAGCTGAAGGTCAGGGAGTGGTGGTAGCTCCTATCAACGTCCTTCACGGGAAGTGAGATTTTCAAGAAGTCTATTTCAGCCTGAAATAAAGAGAGTAAGAGGTTCAATGAGGTATGAGCCTGGAGGTGTGTGGTTGCTGGTATAGCTTGTTTGAGTGTGTTGAGATGAGGGTACTGAAGCAGAAATATACTTCAGGCAGGAGTTGTGGGTGCTGAGCCCCTGGTGTGGTGGGATCCAGTCCTGGCATCGTCATCTGCTGCTGCAGGATTCACACTGAGCCAGAGCACAGAGAGCAGCAGGGGCTGCATGTTTTAACAGAAAGGTTTGTTTCTAAGCCCTTATTGCTTCGCTATAAGCAGTTATCTGAGCTAGGAAGTGCACAGGCTGGGGCAGGAGGAGGATGGCAAGATAAATAGGGAATTAAAAAGCATAGTGAGAATTAGAATCACAGAATCATAGAAACATCAGTGTTGGAAAAGGCCTCTAAGATCATCCAGTTCTACCGTCCACCTACCATAAAAATTGCCCACTAAACAACATCCATCAGTGCCATATACTTGTGGTTTTGAACAGCCCAGGCATGGTGACCCCACCACTTTCCTGGGCAGTCTGTGCCACTGCATCACCTCTCTTTCTGAGAATCAATTCTTCCTTATTTCCAACCTGAATCTCTCCTTGCACAACTTAAAGCCACTGCCTCCCGTTCTATCTGGGGAGCAGAGGCCGACCCCCACCTCACACAACCTCCTTCAGGGAGCTGCAGACAGCAGTAAGGTCTCCCCTGAGCCTCCTTTTCTCCAGACTGAACCATCCCAGTTCCCTCAGCCGCTCCCCACAAGTCCCCACTGTGCTCAGACCCCTCACAGCCCCGCTGCCCCTCTCTGGACGCGCTCCAGGCCCCGATGTCTGTGTGGCAGTGAGGGCCCACAGCTGAGCACAGCACTCGAGGTGCGGCCCCACCAGAGCTGAGCACAGCGATGATCACCTCCCTGTCCTGCTGGCTGCGCTCTTTCTGATGCACACCGGGATGCTGTTGGTCTTCTTGGCCACCCTGGCACACTGCTGGCTCACGTTCAGCCGAGCGTCGACCAACACCCCCAGCTCCATTTCTTCCACACGGTTTTCCAGCCACCCTGCCCCAAGCCTGTAGCAACGTGTGGGGTTGTTGTGAGCAAAGCGCAGGACCCAACGCTTGGTCTTGTTGAACTTCATCCCATTGCCTCAGCCCAGTGAGCAGCCTGCCCAGGTCCCTCTGTGGGGCCTTCAGGTGGATCAACACTTCCCCCTCTCAGTGCCATCTGCACCTCTTTACTGAAGGTACACTCAATTCTCTCACCCAGATTATCAATAAAGATATTAAACAGGGCTCCAGTACCAGCCCCTGGGGAACCCCACTCATGACTGGTTGTCAGCTGGATCTAAGAGGATATTAAAATAGATTGAAACTGGGGAGTTTTGTGAAACAGGATACTGGGTGACAGAAAGGCAGTGGGCAGGGCTGTCCCCAAGGATCTCCTGCACACTGAGCAGCGTCACAGCCCAGTGCAGCGCATTAGAGAAGCCAACCCATCTGTGTGCCCCAAGCAGCACTCACCTGGTATTTGATGCTGAGCGTGATGGGCACTGCGGACAGCTGAGCCATCCTCCTCACTGCCACGTCCGCTACGCCAAAGACGAGGTGCTCCAAGGCCACCACCACCAGCACCAGCAGCAGGGCCACCGAGAGGCGCAGCGCCTGCGCCAGGCACAGCATCAGCTCCTCACGGGACAGCCTGAGGCCCGTGGGGCGGATGAGGCGTTGGGCTGAGCCCACCAGCAAGTGGGAAGCTCCTCCATCCTCAGCCAAACGCTGCAGCTTCTTGGTGATGTAAATGTTGTCGAAGCGGAGGTTGGTGAGGTAATTCTTCAAGTACCAGATGGACTCAAAGCAGAGGTAGAGCACGGAGAAGGCAGCGACCAGTTTGTTGCCTGCTCGCACACAATCTTTGACCAGCACCTCGACAGCCAAAAAATCCTTCCTGGCTTTCTCACCAGCGAGGTGCACCTGGTTAATCCAGGAGTTGTTCTTCACCAGTGAAAACTGAAAATGTCCATCCATGGGCTTCAGAATAGCGTAATTTTTTATTTCATCCCCCAGCTTCCAGGAAGCGTTCTCCAGCAGATCAGTGGAGTTCAGAAGGCTCTCAGAGGAATTCTTGGAGATGCACAGGATGACCTGCAGTAAGGTCTTGATGTTGCTGATGATGTTGGGGGTGATGTTAACCACTGCTATCATGATGCAGGCTGACAAGAGGAGCTTCCGGCCCTGCTTGGTGCCCAGTGTTGGCATGGTGATGCTGAAGGCACAGCGCACAGGGTGCAGCAAGAACAGGGCAAGGAGGAGGAGCAGGCTGAAGGTGATGGCCATCGCGATGGAGATGTGCTGGGGGTACTCCAGGGATGCGAAGAGCCAGTTGTAGAAGAGGCCTCCAAGCAGCACGGTGATGCAGGAGCACTGCAGAAATAGGGCCCACAGCTCCCGGCTGTCTGCTGGGACTGGTTTGGAGTATATGGACCATTGCTCTGTCATGATCCTCTGCAACTTTGGGAACAGGGAGTCTTCATAATAGGCGTTGTCATGCAATCTGTGCAAAGAATAAGCATGCACTAATTTGGGGAATTTGTAACATCCCTCTCTGGTCTCGCTCTTTGCCACTCTGATACCTTAGTTGCTGGCACTGGGGTCTTCCCTGCAACCATGCAGGCCAGGACAGTTCATAGCATTTGTTGAAATCGCTGTCTACAACTCCCTGAAAGGAGGTTGTGGCCAGGTGGGGGTCAGCCTCTGCTCCCCAGTAATAGCAACAGGATGAGAGGCGGTGGCTTTAAGTTGCATGAGAGGAGGTTCAGATTCAATATCAGGAAACATTTATTCTCTGAAAGAGTGCTGATGCAGTGGCACAGCTGCGCAGGCAGGTGGTGGGGTCGCTGTCCCTGGAGGTGTTCAAGAAATGTGGAGATGTGGCACTGAAGGACATAGCTAATGGGCATGGTGGGGTGGGCTGGGGTTGGTCTTGGGGATCTGAGGTCTTTTCCAACCTCAGTGATTCCATGATTCTATGAAAGATCCGATACCAGTTATAAGCAACTCCTCCTCCTCTAATATCATTAGAGAAAAACATTGTATTACTCTATAAAAAAGAAGTCATTCAGAGTAGGCTGAACTCTTCAGCTGTGTTTAAGAGCAGGTTTGGTGGTTTCTTAGAAGAGAGAGAAGGGAAGAAAGGACTCCCAGCTGCTCTGGAAATTGTTAGTTAGCTCAATAATAAAGGTGCTTCATGGAACAGAGGAGCTGGAGCAGGAGCTTTTGCCTCCCTGCTTCTTAATAGGAGATGAAAATCCAAATAGGAGACTCAGCAAATCTATGGGTGACAAATACAGAACTGATCAGAGAAAACATTGTTTCACACAGATGCCTTAGTGACAGAGGAAATCTCCAAGGTTAAGAATTTGGCTACTGTAGGCAGGATGAAAAGTCCCAGGGAGCTATTTAAATGCCTAATGGAAACAAATGTTTGGGAAGAAGTACTATTTCTCAGGCCTCTGATGTAGAATGACTCTCCAGAGAGCAGAAAACCTGGTGGGGAGAAGGATTATCCCACTGCAGCTTTCAGTCCTGTCCCAAGGACGAGACCAGCCAGGAGAGCCCATCTGTCCTAGCCTGGCAGCAGCAGCAGTAACCCCAGAGTGGGAATTGTGCCCGGCTAATCCATTTACCAGACGTTTGCCAGTGGATAGGCAGTTCAAAGCTATTGGGACAAAAAGACTGAAGCAGGTATTACATACCTGGATGGCGAGATGTGTCCCTGTCCTGTTTGTAGGCTCCCCATGTTCTGATGCCCTGTTACTCCCACTGTGGATGCTGGAGGCAGCTGCTGGGACATCCACAGGAAGACACCAAAGCTGTCAGCACCAGGCAGCCAGGACTCAAAAAATGGGCTTCATAAGGCAATTTGAGTCAACAGATGCTGTAGATTCCTGTTGTGAGTGGACAAAGCTGGTATGTGGAGCCCAGGAGCAACCCTGCTGTCAGACTCCCTTGGATCTTGCTGAAGTGCAGAGGCTTGGTGAGATGACACGCTGCTGAGAGAAATGAGTCAGCTCCATATGGAATGAGTCAGTACTATATGGAAAGACTGGGGGGAACAAGGATCACATGGGAGATGGGGTGTCACTGTCCTGAATTGGGAAATCAGCTGTCTCATCCCAGCAGTATGTTGAGCACTTAGAGAAAAGGGGGCTTTCCTCTGGCAGGCATCAGTCATGGCCCAAAGGCACTTCTGGGCATGGAAGGCTCCAACAAATGCTCTGGTCACTGTTGATCAGTTCTGGCAGGCTGCACTTCTCTGCTGAAACTGTGATCTCATGTGCTGGGCTCACAGTGCTTAAAGGGCAACTCCTCAACAACTCTCACTTCTGTACCCCTTCCTTGGTGGAATCTGGCTGCTTCATTCTACCTAACTCAAAGAAGTTTGCATTTAGGAAGCTTGACTCGAGCTTTTTGCTGAGACCAGCAGCCTTGTGGGAGCTGTAGATGAGCATCTTTTGGGGCCACGGCCATTGGCCATGCACAACTGGATCTGGGTATCTTGTGGTTCTTGCAAAGGAAGCCCTGCTCATTTCCCAATTCCCTGTGGCCAACAAATCCACCATAAAGAATCCTGCAGCAGGCTGGGATTCCTGAAGTTCCACCCTCCAAACCTCAGGGAAGGACCAGCCATGATGGCTGCTCCAAGACATGAAGGGGAAGATGTGTCTCCCTCCTCCTGCCAGAAAAACAAAGATACTGTCTACAAGAACTGTGCACAAATCCTGCCTTCCTCCACTCACAGAGCACAGGGAAGATCACCAAACCTGTGCTGGGGCCTCCCCAAGTGATGCTGCTGCCTCCAGCCCTCCTGCCGGTGGGAACATGGGGCTCCCAGCCAGTTCCCATGCTCCCTACAGCGAGAGAGGGTGAAGGGCTGGGGCTCAGCTGGGACACAGCTCCCTCCCCAGGGATGTAGCCGGTCCCCACAGTGGTGCAGCCATTGAAGGATGAGCAAAGCTGAGCGTGAGCCTATCTCTGTCTGCTCCCTCATCCCTTCCTGCATGGCACAGCTGAGGTGTTCTTGGAGTGCCCAGGGACCTGTGCAGAGAGCTGAGTGAGGTACTCTGAGTAGCTGCAGCCTTCAAGAGGAGCATAGAATGGTTTGAACTGGAAAGGACCCTCAAAGGCCATCTGGTCAACCCCCCCTGCAATAAACAGGGACACTCACAGCTCCGTCAGGAGCTCAGAGCCCTATCCAACATGACCTTGGATGTCTTCACGGCATCCACCACCTCTCTGGGCAACCTGTACCAGTGCCTCACTGCTCTTATTGTGAAGAGCTTTTTCTTATACCCAATCTAAATCTCTCCTCCTGTAGTTTGAAACCAGCTCCCCTTGTCTTATCAAGAGGCAGGCACCAGGAAAAGTGCTTTAGTTTGGAGCATCAACAGCACTTGCTTGCCCTGGCCATGACTTAGGTGGTGATACCACTTCGCAGTTTATAAAGGAATGTGCCAAAAGGCAAAACTCATCAGGCTCATAGTGGCTGTCTCAAGACTCATTTTTCTCACTGTACCCCAGAGCTAGCTGATAATAGCTCTTGAGACCCCTTTCAGAGTGAGCAGGTAGCTTTCTGAGGTGGGAAGAAATAATCAATAGACCATTAAGAACCGAGAAAGAAATCACAGACCATTAAGAAAACAAATAAATATACGAATGATTAACAAACACAAGGAGCAGAGCAGCATGTTCTCTGAGTCTGCTGCAGAGGGGAGCTGGAGTCTGTGGGGATGCTGCATTTGAGCGGTGATTCTGAGCAGCGCCGAGTAGTCGTAAGTACGGCCAAACCTGGCTGGAATGTTTCCCAAGGCTCCACAGCGTTCCCTATATGCTGGACCATATGGGTGGGGGTGAAAGGATACACCGCCTGTGCTGATAGTTTGCCAGTGAGCCATTTTCACTGCCTGATGTTTCCCAGGACACAGTGAACAGGCTCCTTTTGTGTAGAAACAAAATTCAAAACCAAGCGAACAAACAAATAAAATAAAGATGTATGCAAGTGAGGGAGTATGTGCGTTTACCTACAGGCTGGGCGCAGGACGAGGCAGGATCCGGCATCTTTGCGAAGCAACTGTGACACCTGGCGGTCACACTGCTCCGGCGCTTCTGTCTGCGTGCGTCTGGGCTCATAACGATGGATGTCTGCGGTTGGGTGACTTTTTATGGAAAGCAGAGGAAGTGGAGGAGAAATGGGATGTTGTCAGTCGTGAAAATCGTGCTTCACGTTGGAATTTCTTCTCTAAAAGAATGGTGATGCATTGGCACAGGCTGCCCGGGGAGTGGGGGTCACCATCCCTGGGGTGTTAAGGAAAAGGAGGTGTAGCACGAGGCATGCAGTCGGTGGGCACTATTGGTGGTAGGTGGGTGGTTGGGCTAAGTGGTCTTAGAGGTGCTTTCCAGCCTTAGTGATGCTGCAACTCTATGATGGCAGCTGGCTCTGCATGGCCCCCCTCACCGCTGCAGGGCCCCGAGGAGGACCTCTGTGTGAACAGTTCACAAAGCCACTCGAATGCTTCTGGGATAAAAGACACTACATAACACTTCCCTACTGTAAATAAACCAGAACGAGTTTCATCCGAGTGTCTCAGGAGAACATGTGGATGTTCATCCCAGATCAGATGGGGAACATCAAAGGAGCGAAGCAGAGATATTCTGGATGTTGAATTTCAATGCACAAGTGAGGCATTTCCTGTTTAATTAAAATTCACAGGCGGGATGCTAATGTGAATGGCTTTGGTGGCGGCTGTTGAATGTTGACATTCTTAGAGAAATGGTGTGCAGGCAAAGGCCCTCTGAAACAACAGGGCTTAAGTTACAGAAGGTTGATACAGCACTAGAAATGCCCTCTCCCGAGATTTTTCATATCTCTGGTCTTATCACAGAAGCCTCAACAACAACCAGGTTGACTTACTGTAAAAATAGAAACTTCTTCCAGTCAATTTTAGCATAGCAATGGGCCAGCGATGCAGAGTGCCTGAGTCATGGGGGCTGGCAGGGAGCTCTCCTGCTCCTCCAGCGGACAAACCCAAAGCTGTGGGGTTAAGCAGGGGAGAAGGAGGCTCAGCTCTACAGAGCAAACAGGACGAAGGGATGTGCTAACAAATGTGCTTTATTGTACATTTTCCATGATCATTAAGGACTTTGTTAGATGTAAGGATTCTGTTGAACATTCAGGATTTTTTTTTCCAGAACATGACTGATCAAAGTTCTACATTCAGTTGGTGTTGGTGGTTTCTGTTCAGTCCCAAGACCCTGCCTGAGTGCAGCCTTAAGGTGGACCCCAACTGGCCCCAGGCTTCATGAGCAGCACAAGAGCAGGCGGGGTGGGCTGGATCCCACTGTGCCAGCTCCAAAGATCACACCATCAAAGGGACCCAGCAGAGCCCAGTATCCATCCAGTCACCAACCTGCCCTAAATCAGGAATCAGATCCTTTATCTTTCCATCCATCTATGTCAATGACAGATCTTTAAATATTTTTAGATTCTTAGAGAATTTTTTTTTTTTACAAAGGATAAAATGGTGATTAAAATCACAGTCAATTTGCAATGCTTTCATTGAAAGTATCCAAGCAATCAGAAATACAAAGATGTTAAGAATCAAGGCCTACTTTTCAGCAATGTCAATGATACTGCAGTGCAGCTTGCCCGCTGACCTCAGCAGGCTCTCACAAGTGGGTCAGTCTCACAAACCTAAGACTGGCCACATTCACCAAAGTTGAAACACCACTGATGTCCACACAGTTATGTCAGGAACAAATTTGGCCCCAAACCTCCATCTGTGCACTCAGTGCTGAGAACCAGGCAGCAGCTGAAAACCAGGTTTTCAAACCATTGGACATGTTTGGAAACAAACGGTTGCCTTCCTGTTTCCAAAGCATGGAGTAACACACCAAATCCTATTGACACATCCCCTGAATCATCCTTTCATGCACAAGCCTGAAGAAATAGTCTTCATCCTACATTAGAGAATTACTCATGAGACCACAGAGAGCCCCCAGCCTCCACGGTCCTGCCAGAAGCCCACGTTGCCTTCTCCCTGGGCCAGATTCTGATACACTCACTCACATTGGGTTGCACATAAATCCATCCTGAGCTGCTCTCCAAAATGAGGAAGGGTATCAGAAGGTGGAGTAGCAAAGCTCGCTAGCTTTCATGGGGGGAGAGGCATCTCCCCAAAGATGCTCGATGCTTATGGGGTTGTCCAGGTAACAACCAGCTATGATGGACAGATGAAATTGTCTGGGAGTATCTGATAGGTACCTGTGGAAGGTGGGGAAAGGACCTTCGGAGAAAATAACCAATAGATGTTGCAACACTGACCACTATTTCTAAAAATAAAATTAAACCCAAGGGTCTCATATAGTGTGGGCAGCCATGTGGCTTTCTTCCTGTGCATATGCTGACGATTCCAGTGCCCGAGTCCTAAGTGAGTGAGTCCTTCCCCTGGGGTAGCTTTGTTCATATTTTATTTAGTGCACTTAAAGTGACATTTTCTACAGCTGGCAAGAGCGATGTGGCATTTTCTGCATGGATGTTAGCCCATGCAGGGAAGGTCCCCAGCTGGAAGATACTCTTGGCCCACGTGTTCATAGCCAAGCTAAGAAGTAGAACTCCCATAAGATTCATGAGCAACCCAGTTCTCACCTACAAAAGAAACACAAGACAACTGTTGAGTTCAGCTTGGACATCTACAGTATGAAGTTAGCTGAACACAAATGTTATAAAATGGAAGGTTTAATTGCCATTAATACCAGCAATTTTCTAAGAGGGCTTTCTTAAGCCACAAAGACCATTCCGCAAATGCTTTGCCAAGCTTTGATCCATCAAAAACATTAGTGCCTGTTTAGCCTCAGGAATGTGAGCAGAAACTGGGACTGAGCCTAATTTTGCTCATAAGCTGTATTTCACTGAGCTGGGGAACATTTCCTTCACCCAGAAACCTCTGAAGGTTGAGCTGCTGACACTGGCTGGAACAGGAGCAGGATCTGAGAGATGCTGAGCACAATTGAAACCACTTTTGTCATCACTTGGAGCCACAGCAGCTCCAAATTTCACAGGGTCAGATGTTATACAGGCTTCTCCCGTATCTCTGTGCCTTCCAACACTACCTTACAGAAGTTGATTGCCTTCAGTATATTGTATATCCAAAGCAACTTACCATATCCTTGACCATCAAGTGTCCAGAAGAAAATGCAATCGAGTTAGGAGGCGTTGAGACTGGCAGCATGAATGCGTAGGAGCATCCTATTGTTCCTGGTATCATTAAATAGAGTGGATTGACTTTCAGACGAATGGCCTTGAAAAACAGAAAGGAACAGAAACTGTATGTTGGGGATTAGGAGGGAAAGGCAGATATATTGATGGATACAGAGTGCACTGTGCAGAGGCATATCCCACACTCTGTGACAGATAATCACGCATCTCACCAACAAGTGCTTGAAGGAGTATTATTCATCAGTGCTCACTTATGCTACAGGCACTTGCTTTATGGCTCCCAAGGATTTCAAAGTGCCTACAGCCCTGATCCAGGAGCAGGAGAACTGAATGGTGCCAGCTCCAGACCTAGCACCACACACCTGCCTGCACAGAGCAACTCTGAGCACTGGCTGCTTACCAGCTCTGCCAGGACAGGCAGGAAGATGATAATAGTGGCCGTATTGCTGGCAAACTCTGTGAATAAGGCGATGACAATCGTGATGAGGATGACAGCCACGGGTGGGGGTACGCCCTCCAGGGGGTGCAGGCGGCCTCCTATCCAGACAGACAGACCAGACTCCTGCGGAAGGGAGAGCAAACAAGCTGGAGAGCGGGGCTCCTGCATATCTGCAGAAGAGCTGATCCTGTCATAGATCTGCAAACTGCATACGACCTTCAGCCACCGACACAACCACCTATGTGCAGTGCCATCAGGGTATTTAACAGCAAGCAGTTTGAGAGGAATTGCAAGATTTATTAACCTCTCCTGAATTATCTGCTATGTGTTGCTGTCTCAGGAGAGTTGTGAAACATGTCTTCAGTAGAGAAACATGTCCTGTTAGTGCTGTGACCCTGCAGATGCAAATTTCCAGAGCCAAACAAGAACCCCAAACAGCACAGCTGTACCGGGTCGCACCTCACAGCCCTTTGCCATGGCAAAGCCCCCTCCGAGCAGCAGGATGATGTTCCAGGGCACCGTTTCCTGGGCCTTCCTCCACGTCAGCAAGGGCTGTGTCTCAGTGTTTGGTGCTAGAAAAAGAGAAAATCCCCGTATCAAGCACCCACCCAAAGAGGAGCATATCCATCATCATCTGACAGAATGACATTATCAGCCTGACGTCACTGCTGAAGCTCATCAACCATGAGTTGCTGATGATAAAAATATACACATGGATTCCCTCAAGCTAGACAATTCATCATTTCACTTCATATAAAAAATGGAGTCTTAACACAATGAAAAGAAAAGAAACTCTAGTAGTTAAGGCTTTTTTTGAGGCTTCCTTGAGGAGACTTCCAACATCAAGTTAATTCCATCTCTGTAACAGACGTGAACATTGCTCTCAGTAGATGGGAGTCCATGGTAGGAGGAAGTTTTCTACCATCTGAACTGTGAAGATGTTAGTAATTTTCCACTACAGCATTAAAGTTTTACAGCAAAAAAAGTGCATCCCCCCTACAACCCATCCCTCAGCACATGACAAAATGATTTCTGCCATATGAAAGGATGCTCTAATGGATCTGCAATTTTCTGTGGAACCAAGGCACACATCTTATCCAGAGGAGTCTGGACAGCACAACCAACACGTGTGACAGAGCTCAGTGGGTGCTTCTCCATCCTCCCAGGGATGTGGCAAGCCAGTCCCAGGGGCCTCACCAGCTGCATCTCCATATGAAGGCCGTCTCTCATCATAAGTGGTTTAGGAATTGAAGCTTATATCTCATTGCTACTCAAAGGGACAAAGCCAGGACCTCAAAAGACTTTCTGGCACCAAAACTTGCTGGAGAGCCTGGGCATTAGGAGTTTAACTTCTACTTCATTCTGGGCACTGAGGAAGAGGCCTTGGGGGATCAACTACTCACCTTTGAAGTCAAACCACCACCTAAGGGAAGGCTTTTGTGAGGGGAAGAAGAACAGTATGATCACAATGGTGATTCCTGTAACTGCATCGGAGACAAACCTGCCCAAAAGCAGCAGAAACACTAGTAAGAAGCATGAGCCTGTACAAAGTTTATGAGAACAGGGATTTACCAAAGAAGATTACAAGTTTCCACTAGGTTTGAACAACAGCGGTTGTTCACAGTTCTTTTTAATTCCTATCAAGCTGTGAACCCCCTAAAAAACTGCCCTGCGGCCCTGCAAATGTAAGAAAGCATGAATGAATTCCTCCTCAGCAGTGATGCTCCAATGTTCTGCCTGAAGAACTGTGCTCAGTCCACTGTCCCCTCCCCCACAAGGGCTGTGGGGACAGACTTCCCCAGCTCTTACAGGAGGAGCAGAGCCCACATGAGATCTTTACAAAATGCTCAGAGTGTACAGTGACACACAGACTTTATATTTGATTATAAGAAGACATTAACTGATGAGGAAAAGGTTCATAACTATTTTGTTCTATTAAGGAGTCATTAATTAAGCTAGAGCTCTACTAAAACAATCCAAAAGTCAAGTATGATTTGATTTCTGTTTAGAAATATCCTCTCTGAGATTCAGCATTCCCCAACTGCTCTGTTTGTCCTCCCAAGGTATGAATGGATGTCATAAGGGAGATAAACTCACAAAACAGGCAGAACAGCACAGCAAGCCAGCTCCTACCATCCCTCTTTACTCTCTGGACCTCCACTGAAATTCAGCATGTCACTGTAAATGCACTACGTAAGTACAGTCAGCACTCCAGGGATGGCCTCAGATGGGCATACGTAAGAATCTGCAGTGCCAGTTCCCACTGGGCTTCATGCACATCCTTTGGGACACAGAAACAATAAAGCTGGCTCTAGGAGTTCAAGCTTAATTTATTCCAGGAAACCTGAGTAACAATGTTCAGCAACACAGTCAGAAACCCAGGAATCCCAAAGACTTTGAAATGCCATTGAAAAATGTGAGAATGGAATGAAAATAAAATCTCACCCTGGTGCAAACAAGCTGGCCCAGCCTGGAATGAATTTGGGATCCCTGGAGAAAAGCATGATAGCAAACATGCAGAAGAGGAAGAAAATTGCCTGTTCCGCAAACCTGAAATGAAAGGAAATGCAGTTAAAACGATGTTGTGCTAAAGGGCCAGAGCTGAGACAGGCAGCACTGAGCTCTGGCTGCAGCAGCTGGGTGAAAAGTGAGGCAGCTTCTCTCCAATCAACTACAATGAATCACTGGAATAAGTTGCACATCTATGAGCAGATACTGATATTTGGCAGCAATGATCAAGTGGAAGATCTTAAGATCTTAAGATCCAAGATCAAGCAAGGATCTTAGTGCAAGACATGAAGGACAGGCCAGATGGCACCATGAAGGCCCAGGGCAGATGTCAAAACACATGTATGCAAAACTGACCATCCAGATGGGGCAGAGAAAGGCTAGGAGCTGCTCATGGCCATTCCTCTCGTCACTGCCCTCTGGGATGTCCTTAGGGCACAGATCAGGCTAATACTGACCAGTTCAGAATGGTTTTGCTCCATTTTAAGCAACATAAAAGGAGAGCTAAGATTCAAATGATACATGAGACAGCAGGAATGATCTTCAAAATCAAAACCTAAGCAGGGTCCCTCAAACATATGACAAATAGCAGGGGGTTCTCTGAACAGGAGCATCATACACCAAGTATTAGGCTTGATTCTAGTGGGGTCAAGATTTAACCAAGGCAATGCCTCAAAACACTGTTTGAAACCTCTCAGAGCACAAGGAAGGGCAGGCAAGCCATTGGGAAGAAACCACTTGCACATTTTAAGTTACAGGGTTGCTAATCAAATTGGTTGAGCATGGCTTAATGGACTTTCTCGCTCCTAGACCTCAAAGAGAGACTTTGATTCTTCCAGAGACATTTTACAGGCTGCTTCATAATGCTCTGGATGGAACAGCTAAACCAATTTCTTTCATTTACAGCACAGGCTCAGTCTTTGAAGAACTACTCCATTTTCCACACAAGAGCAATAATTACAATGTCAATAGCACAACACAGACATCACTGAACCTTCACAGCACCACTGTGAGTATATTCTTTTAAAGACGGAGAACCACAGACATTTTGAGGTTAAGACCTACACTTCCAAAAATCTCTACTAGCCCTGGTTGCCAGGGGTGGGTTGGACATACCTGGGCTTTGATGCTTGTAGATACTCAACTTTTCCTTTTCCTCTCTACTTTGGAACTTCTCATACGTTTCTCACATTTCTTTCTCCAATATGTGATCCCTATCAATTTGCACACCTCTTCCAGAAGACAAAACCTTTGAGAAACTTCAACTAAAAGTGTTGTGTTCTTTCTTCACATTAGTAATAAAGTTGACTAATTATCTATTCCACGAAATGAATTTAACTTCCTATATATTTTCTTTGAGCACCTCTCAAGATTTCTTAATGTATATCCACCATCCATATGATTCATAACAGATTCATCAGTCTGCTCGGTGAGCACTTCTGCTTTGCAGAACAGCTACAGATCTGCAGAAATCTCCAAAATGAGGCCTGTGTCAGTTACATAAAACATGTAAAGCTTTGGTTCTTGGAGCAAAAAATTTACAAACAGTAATTAAGCAGCCTAACATGAATCCACACTGTAATATGAACTTTGTTCTTGGTAAGAGCTGAGGGCAAGCTGCTATTTGCTGTTACTCCTGTAAGCGAAGATGGAGAGGTTGGAGCATGCAGAAAAGCAAACTTCAGCAGGTCACAAATACTGAGTGGAAACATTATTCCATTTTCTTCTAAAAATATTAAACTCAGCCCACCACTCTCAGGACAGGACATTTCCACCCCACTTGATTTCTTTTTCATTTCAATCCCAACTTTACGACTCACTTTGTTGGGCCCAGTTTCTGGTAGTCCTCCTTTATCACTTCTCTGGCTCGGGCTTCTGCATCCACTCTTACATTTGACTTTTTTGTTCTCCAGCCCCTGTCAAGAAACACAGTTACACTTTTAAATGTCTGAACCCAGGAGGAAGGAGCATGGCACTGAATACCAGTGGAAAAGCCCCGCGTATGGGAACACCCATAGTTATAGTCTGGTCCCAAACGGTAGCAAGGCCCCTTTTTAGATCCACTTTCTCTCTGCTCTCACACAAAGAAGGCCCCACAGAGGGCAGAAGTTTTCCCTCATTTATATTCTAAACCACTTCCAGCATGGGCTGTGATTGCCAAAGGAAAACCCCAATGTTGCAGGGTTTCATCTCTGACAGATAATTACTCGGGTGAAACACTGGGAGGTGGCTGACGTGCAAAACGAACCTGTCCCTTCCCTTCTCGAGGCACCTGCAATTTCCTGGAAAATCTCAGGATGCTGTCAAGAATCGACAAATGCACAGAATTTCTGCATGGCCAGGAATGTTAATGTGCTCCTGGCTAAGGCTCTGAACTCTGAGCGCTCACTGGGCAGACATGCTGTTTGCTCCTTTGTAGTACGCGCACACAACAACGTATTCACACCTCACGCTTTCTCTGCCATCATGTTCTGCCTGTGACCTTGATTAAACCTACAACACGCAAGGCTCTACCTCAGGTGCATCCACCAGATCCCTTCATTCAGTCTGTTTCAAAGGGAAATCCTGGCTGTGTCTTCTGCACAAGCAAATGGTTGGCAATTTGGAAAATCCTGCATCTCAAAGAGATGTACCTGGTCCTTTGAGTTTTGGGGTGTAACGAATGGCAGCTTTATCTTCACTCAATCAGCCTACAGATTTCAGATTCGAACAGTGCCAGCCTGTTTTTGGCGAGGCGTCCATCTGTCTGTGCTTTCCTGCCCAGAGCAGCCGAGGAAACTCCTGCAGAAACACGGCTGTGCTTGTGCAGCTCTGCACTGTCCCTTCCGAGGCACTTTGCCACTGGGGAATAGTGCTCTGCAGCTATCCCAATAAAGCTGGGCTTCACACGGACAGAGATGAGCCAAACCAAACAAAAAGCATCACGTCCTCCAAGTATCAATGTGACATTTTGCTGGGGGCTTTGGCAAGCAGAACTCCCTCCTACCTCACCTGCTGAGCAGGCACCAGGGCCATGTCCCAGCCCTACACACAGGAAGCAGGAATTGGGACACGGCACGGGGCAGCTCTGGGCTCATGACTACAGGGCAGAGCTTCCCCCAGCCCATGCCTGCGATTTAAGGAGCAGCCTTTGTCATTTTCTGGGTTGTAACTTTCCCATTGATTTTTTTTTCCTGTTGCTGAGAAAATGTAAATATTTGGACACCTGTTCTCTCTCTCTCTCTCTCCCCTTTTTTTTTCTCCCTGCTTTTTAAACTCAAAATAACAATTAAAGGCTTTTCTAAATATTAGAAATTCTGCATTGTCCCTAGGGGAAGCATGGCTGTGAGTTCACTTCTATCACATATGAGAGTCTACAGGAGGGAAAAGGCTCCAAATTAACAACAATGTGGCACTGCTGCCATTGTTGTAAGCAGCGTGCACTGAGGGCTGTATGTATCCAGCAAAGGTTTACCAGTAAAACACATTACTCTCAATTATAGATCAACATGTTGCTGTAAAACAAAGCCCTGCTATGAAGCACTCTCTTCCAAATCCAAGTTTCAGCATTAGGAGCAAATCTCAGCAGTTGTGTTCCAGGAGATTTCTGCTACTAATTCCAGGGCAACCAAGATTTCATGCTGGCCTTCAAGGTCTGACCCTGCTTTCCCTTTTACCAATGCAGTTCTGCCACTGACTTTTCCCAGCGCAGCTCAGGCAGTAAAACAATGTACAAAACTTATGTTTCAGTGAATTAATATGTTAACACATTCCCTGCATGTGTGTATTTCAGTCAGGAAAAGTGTATGCAACTCTGAGAGTTCTTTAAAATTCCCCTGGTGCATATCTGCAACTGCTTACTGCATGCAGCCAAAGGCTCAAAACTGCTTGGAACTAGAAAGAAAAGGATGGGGACTTTTTAGGGAATATTCAGCCTTAACTTTGATATATCCATGGAAGCCTCTTTTAATAGCAAGCATCTGCCTGAATGCCAGATCTCTGGGGGCAGATCCTGGGTCATTGTGTATCACACAGCTGTTGTGGTGTGATATGGCAATGCCCACACGTGGATTGTGCCTGAGGGGTTATCCATGCCTGTGGCATGAACTTTGGGCACAGACATTTCCAAAAAGGGGTTTTGGTATGCAATGTTAATATGCTAGTGATTATTATTATTATTATTATTATTATTATTACAGTTTTTTTGCTTCTTCAGTGTTTTCTGATCCTTTAATCCCTTACAAGCCTGAATCACCCCTGGCCCCTTTCTGCACAGCCCCCATCAGCTCAAGCCCTTCCTGCAGCAGCCAGCTATCAGCAGTGAGCAGGGTGGAAGCAGAAAGCAGATGCTCTTAGTAGGAAAGATAAAAGACAATCATGGGAGCAACGTTCAGAAAACATTTACAGGACTGGAGCCTTGAGCTGAAGATGACACATGGGCAGCTGCTTAGAAATAGAGGATGAACATTCTGAAGTTAGCTATGAAACCCTCCCTGTCAAGATTCTGGGTGTTATCTGTAGATTTAGTATGAGAATTGTATGAAGGTGTATTCACAATGCTGTGATAATGAGCATAGAGTGAATATAAACATACCTCAGATCAATTCCTCCGTACAGGATGGAGATCCATAGCCATCCCATGAGAAGAAAAATCAGCATTAAAGGAAATGCAAACATAAACCAAGAACCAAAGTTCACCACATCACATTCTGGAAAATAACTAAGCAAATGGGAAAAAATCAAGTTAATGCAAGAAGGGAAAACCACCCTCCAATTTAAGGGCAAGCAAACATCTGAAACCAGTAGCAAAATATCCCACAAAGTCACCACTTGTGCACTTAGGAACATTTCCCCTCTGTACTAGCAGCTGGGAGAGGCTTAACATGCTGCTTATGGAGGCCAGTGTTAAGAAATACCTGGAGGCACTTGGCATGGCACAAGGCCATACCTGTATGCACATAGGAAGTATTTTTTTATGCCCAAGAAACAAGCCAGAAGTAGCAGATTCCTTATTTTCCTTTGCTACCATACAGCCCTACGTACAGTTGGCCACAGAACACTACCCAGCCTGTTTCATCACAGGAGTTACAAGGCTAGTTTTAAGCACGTGGCCGGGTTCCATTACAGTCAGCAGGGCTAAGAGCAGAAGTAGGGTGAAGCACACACGCACTGGGTTGGCTGGCAGCCTGCTGGCTATGCTGGGAATCTGCTCCCCAACATCAGGCTGGGGATACAACTGCTCTCAGCCTTCATCCACTCCCAAAGTTTCCCAAAAGATGCTGGAAGGGCATGAATTTTCCAAGTTAGCTCTTGGCACAGAAAGGAATTTCCCACAGGGTTGGAGAATATCTCTTGGCTGTGCAGGATTTACCCTGGCAGACAGGCAGGGCTTTCCAGGAGAGCCTCCCATACCTCTTCAGCTGTCCCAGGAGGATGAGGTTTGGTGCAGTTCCTGTCAGCGTTGCTGTACCCCCAATGCTGGCTGCATACGGGATGGAGATGAGGAAGCCTTTCCATATATTTGTTTTGTACTCTTCCTCCTTCTTTAAGTCTGAGAGAGTGTCACTGGTAATTTCCTTCTCCTCCGCCAGATCTTTGCTTTAAAACAGTCCAAAAGAGAATCCGGTGAAAGCCCTGGTTTAAATACAGCGCAAGCAATTCAGAGCCTTGACAGAAGGAACATTCCCAGATTTTAGAAAGCCAAGCTAATGCTGCTCTGCAGGACTCAGCCAAGTGCCCCCTCACAGGGTCTGAGGTGCACTGAGGCCCTTCGGTGGCTTGCAAAAATCAGCATAGAGTCCTTAGGACTGACCAGCAGAAAAAAAAACTGATAGCACCAAGAGGAAACAAAACCCTATTCCTGAAAAGCTGTTTAATTCCCACTGTTGTTATCAAAGCAGAACCACCAATGCTGTGTAAATCCTGGTGGTTTTTACACCACTTTCCACGCTCCTGGGAAAGCCAAGGGACAATTTCCCAGCAGGAGACACCTCTGGTTACTGCTCCAGAGAGACTGGAGGATCCCTGCAGTGATTTGGACGTGCAGAATAATGCCAGACAGAGAAGGGGTTCAGCTCCATGGTCAGTCTGTTAGCAACTGGGAGCTGTGGTGTAATCAAACAGTTCAGTGACTGAATTTCAAATTCCTAAAACTCGGTCGGCTCAGGGGATAATTCTGTGTCTCAGTGCTGTAATACAAACTTTATGGTTAACTTACTCCTCAGTACTTGCCAGAAACTGCATCTCAGTTGGTACAGTGTAAAGTTTATTCTGCTGTAAAGGTGCTGAAAAAGAAAGATTAGGACTTTAAAACAGTTCAAAGCATCTAAAAAATTCTCCTTGAACCAAACAGTGGAACTGCTCACAAAAAGAAGGGCAAATTGCCCTTTACAGAGAAAGGACAGTGCAAAGAGAGAAAGCTCACACCACTGTGATGGGGTCAGAGGGGACGAACAAGCCTGGTGACAACACAGCACCCAGCTTCTCCTCCAGCCCCCACAGGCACTCCTCCTGTCACTGCTTCAGACTCTGGAACATTGCAGATTGATGGGAGCTTGAGGCTGTGCCTTCTCTGCTGTTGGTTTTGTGCCCTGGGAGGGGTAAACCACAGCTCACTCTCAGGAACAAGAATTACTGGGCCTGCTGTATCCCCAGGGCACACCCCTCAAAGCCTGGACCTCAACACAAATTTGGGGCCACCTCGGGGACGTGCTTGCACACCCAGTTCTTAGGGACCCTCCTGCATATTTCACACAGGCTTTGCCTCAGTGCACTTCTCACCCATCCCACTAAAGGTGAGCAGGGCACAGGGAAAGGATCTGTTTGGATCGCAATGACCCATCTCTCTTGGTCAGTGAACTGGGAGCTGCACACCATGCTACCGTACATCTATGGGCATATGCACTGGGTCTCAGAGATTGCAGGACAGACCAGAAATACAATCATGCAGGTTTTCTTAAATCATATCTCATACTAAGGTTTGTACCATTCACTGTGGCTTGAGCTCCTGAGGATGGGAGCAGGGATGTGCTGATAAACTCTATTTTCCATACCCTCTACAGGACTGGAGCCTGTGTGGAGCCAGGGCTTGGACTCGACGATCCCTATGGGTTCCTTCCAACTCAGGATATTCTATGATTCAATGACCTTTAACCTCTTTCAGCCCAGGTCACCACAGCCTCTGCCACTTTCCCTCAGGCACTGCCGTGTCTGACCTGAGGCCCACAGCCCCCTCCCACCACGGTCAGCCCAGCAGCCCCCAAACTTCCTCGGGCCTCAACTCAACCCTCGTTGCTCTGCCTGGGCACCAGAAGCCGAAAGCAGTGTATGGAAGGAGCCAGTGGTCAAAGTCTCTGGACTAGCTCACCAATGACAAGCCGCTTGTTCCAGCTCAGTGAGCCAGACAGCTTGCACTCTCGTGTTTTACACGTGGCTAATTAACCGAAATTGAGTTAATTGGCTTGGATGCACACATGCTGAGCTTTCATCTCAAGGGTACTGCGATGGAGGGATGTAATTAGCAGAACATTAACCCGTGGCTGACTGTTGGTCTCCCACTGGATTTAGCCGGTCTCTTAGCATTGATGCCTAGTGCCGGCTCTGCAAAGCTACATATTTCATTCCACCTCTTCACATTTTTCCATTTTTTTTCTCTGCTAAGCCCCACCTCCACCCCATCTCACCAGGAACACCTTAAGTTACCTCTCAAGGAAGGTGTGTTAAAGGCAAGGCAGACTTGCTTGCAAAGTAATCTTCTCCTGTGAAGCCTGGAAAAAGGGACTGAACATTTCTACAGGTCCGTATGCCAGAGGAAGTCAAAAAACACTGAGCTGGGTGCTGGCTGTACACACCTTGCACAGAGCAGTGTGAGAGATTCAGTGGCCAATTCACCCCAATACCTCATATACCTTGTCCTGGAGAACTTTGGCCTTAATGATGTTTCTACAGCTCCTAAAAGACTGAAAAGGGCCAAGGAAGAGTATTGCCACCCTCTGAGGGGTGCAGGTGGCAGTGCTGGGCCACATCCTGCCCACACAGCCATGGCAGCAATGACCAACAATGCACATTTTCCACCTGCCCCTATAGAGACATCGTTTCCAGGTCTGTGATCTCAGGAAACATCACAAACACTGACTGCAGTTCATCCTGAATCTGCAGAAGATTCAGACTCCTCTATGCAGGGAAGAAGATTATTTAAAAATATACAGATAATTAAAATAATCACTATTTGCATCTGGAAATACTTAATTTGCTTAGAGAAGTGAAATATTGGCAATGATGGGTTAGTGGGCAGAGAGCAGGAGAGTCAGGGTCACAGTGACAGCAGTTTTCAGTTTGGCACACAACCAGCACATGGTTTGGCAATAGGAATGGAGACGTCAGACAGAGCTGTACAGAATTTATAACTCAGAATTTCAGACACACCAAGTCATCTAACTGATTTCTTCTATCAAGCTGTGCAAAAATCACAAGAAAAGACTCCAAGCTTTGGCTCTCAACAACTCATGCATGCAAATATTTGCTTATCTTCAAAATTTTGCCCACATGGTTGAGCATGGGCACAGCTGATTGCAACCTCGAGGTTCTCAGCAGCACGGAAATATGGTCAATTGACCGGAGACCAGTGGGACGTGTCAGCAAAGCAATGCACCAACCATGCTGATTCATACACTTCACATTCCTTTAGAGAGCCAAATGCCTTTATGGGCACTGTAACGGATACATTCTTTAGTATGTTTCATTCCTATATATCTTTATTTTCTTTTTTAGTCCCCTGCACACCCCTACTTTGTTATTAAAACATACCCAAGCCAATATGCAGATCGATGCTATCATGCATAATCGTAACAGCTCACTTCCACACACAGTGTACACTGCAATAAAAGCTTCCTTGTCTGTGTCAGCCCTCAGATGACAACTTTTTTAGATCACAAAGATCAAGCTGATTTCTAAATAAATATACCATCTTCTTACATTGAAGCAGGTCAGATCTACAAACAACAAAGGGCAACAACCCATCCAAGAAGTGCAGCCAGTCCTAACTGCAGGCGACACCTGATGGACAGGAAAGCCTTGCACAAAGCTCACTTTCACCTCCCCTCTCCCACCTATACAGCAGACTCATTGGTTTCAACTGCCTTCAGGCTCATGGCATCTTCCCAGCAATGTTTTTCTCATCCATTCAGAACGATTACAGAAAAGGATGAGCCTATCCTGAGGTACTGCAGTTCAAATAAAAAGTCTACAAGAATATCTGCCTTTTGGACATTTTGCAGATCACTGCTCCTTCCCTTGTGTTTATTATTTCTGTAAGTTTCTACCTCAAAAGAAAAATACATCATCACACGGTTACATGATAGTTGCAAAGTGTCATTTTATTCATTCATCTGCTTGCAGCCCCTCCCCTTGCTGGTTTCTCTCACAGTCCTAAGCATTTTGAGCCAAGGTCATTAACTTTGTGCTTGCCAACGTCTAGGACAACAGAACTCTGGATTTTGCATGTTCTCAAACTCCACTGTCCCAGCTACACACTCAAATCATGTTAGAGGATGGAGTCAAGAAAGTTAAAAACAGGTTCACGTAAAACAATGCTTCTGCAGAAGGAGAAATCACAGCAAGAAGGGCAGTGGGGTGGATTTTAATAGAAGTGTATGGTCAAAAATTCATAAAGCAAATGTGACAGAGCAACACGGAGTGCAAACATCTCATGATTGCCAGACATGAAGAATGAATTATTAGTTATATCTTTATTAGAGCATGCATACTTCAGTTCTCTGAACTCATTAACCTGCCTTCGGACTCAGTGGAAACCAAAACACTATTGTCTTTAAATTGTAGAGAAAGTAGAGCAGCTAATTAGTGCTAAAAAGAGAACCTACAGCTGTTGCTCCAGTTACCAGTAGGGGCTACAAAGGGGATTTCACTGCTTCACTTCTGTCTTTCACCCCTGCCTGCCAGAATCCCAAGCTCTCAGGGAATGACCTGTGAAAGCAGGGCTGGAGTAAGGCCTTCTCTGACTGCATAACCCTGCCAAAGCCCATCCACCACCTACCTGCTTACTGCCAACACCAAGCAGCAACACAGGGCTGGACCAGGGGAAATCACAAAGCACTTTTAACTAGGCTTTCAGCCAGCTGTCTTGCCCTTCATCTGTGCCTTCTCTCTCAGTCCCCCATTTTATGAGGGGAGAAATAGAAGAAAGAACCTATGCACAAGCACGTGGCACCCTATAGATATCAGCACACTGCATCCGAGTGGGCATGCAGAGCCGGCCTTCTGCTTGTGCCAGTGCTGGGTTTAGGGAGCAGTGGGGGTCACTGCTTTGTGGTGTTTCCACATATTTCCAACTTGTTAGTGTGACATGAGGAAGGGAAAGGATGAGAGGGAGCTGTATGTCAATACCCTTCCATCACAGTAACAAAGAACATATTAAACTGGGACCAAGTTTGATGGCAGAAGGGCAGACCTCAGCTGGCTCATACTTCTGCCCTGTCTCAATTACCTTGTGTTTCTTCATTTTCCCTGATCATATCCTTAGATGTGTCTTTCTCCCCAAAGAGGCTTTTCAAAATTGCATTTGCAATTGGAAGCATCATAGCAGTGGAGGCAGTGTTACTTAACCACATAGACAGGAAAGACGTTGTCAACATCATCCCTAAAATTAGTCTGAAAGAGAGAAAAAAAGAAAAAGCTGAATTGAAGTTTGACAGATTCTAACACATTCTGGCTGCGGGAAGAAAAGCTCATGTGCAGGGACATTTTAAAATTAAATGAAAGAGCAGCTTGTGTGCAGAGCTGCATCTCGGCTCCTGCAGCCCATGCCCCCCATGCACACCCCCTGCCCCAGCAGTCACCTGGCTGGCTGCACTCCCACACACATCAGCACCCTGAGTGCGATCCTGCGATGTAAATTCCACTCCTCGATGGCTGATGCCATGATCAAACCACTGAGGAAGAGGAAATTGGTGTCTAAAAAATACTGTGGGCAAACTTTGTTAGATGGGAGGATGCCCAGGAAGGGAAAGAGGACGATGGGCAGCAGAGCTGTCACAGCCAGGGGCAGCGCCTCTGTGCACCAGTACAGTGCCATCAGTAGGATCACGTAGAGGCATCTTCCTTCCTGCAAGAGAAACAGAGAGGGAAAACAACATAAGCAGTGTCTGAGAAGTCTTTTCACTTGGAGATACCAAGACAAGCAACATGCATCAGTTATTCTTCCAAGGATATCCTATCTCCCCTCAAATCATTTCCATCAACAGCAACATCTTTCCCCCACCAGATTGCATAGGGGGCTCAGGACTCATCCTCTGAAAGCATAACAAAATCCCAAATCCCTCCCAGTTTCCTGAGCCTCAATGCTGGAGGATAGCAGTGCAGAGTCTTCAATCCAGGAGGCTCTGGAGGGAAGGAGGTGCCTCTGGAGGTGAAGTGGGGTGCCAATGCTCAGGATGCACTGCTGTTAATGCCCTTACTTGTCCAACTATCCGACAGCTGCTACACCAATTCATCTGTGCTTCCCCTCCAACTTTGTATGGCTACAAGAAAACAGCTCTGAGAGATGGATGCACCGAGCCCCCTCCCATTAGCAGCAGGAGGCACACAGAAAGGTTTCTTTTGCTAGCTCAGAGCCTCCTGAGAGATCTGTGAGAAACCTTTCCAAGGCACCCAGTCCCTGCAGAAATCAGTAAATCAAGCACTCTGATCAGGAAGTGCCACTTCCTGAGGAGCCTGCCCAAGTGCTGTGCTGCCATGGCTGGCGGAAACCCAGTGCTCCCAGTGCCCATTCATTCACTGAACTGGGAGGCAAAGGAGAGCAAAGCTTCTTGTCCTGGAAAGCCAGGGAAAGGAGCTGGGACAACAGCCCTGAGCAGAGGAGTGGAGCCTGGGAGGAAACTGGGAGCCCAGCACAAAGCCACGGGGGGCTGAAGGGGTCACTGGCAGCAAGCAGAGGCAGGGTGCCCACAGAGCTATAAATAACCACTGAGAGCCTTTTGGAAGCCCCAGAGCTATTTATTTCCCCACTCTTTTCCAGCTTGTTGAACAGGTTGGATTGTTTCTCAAAGGCCCCTCTGTATCTCCTCTTGGACCTCCATTCCCTGCCCCAGGGCTGGGGCTGCCAGGGCCCCCCAGGAGGCTCAGGGCTCGGCCAGGTTTTGGAGCAGCACCGTGTATGAATGGCCTTCATGCTCAGCCTGGTGGATGTGCAGAGCCTGCAGCAAGGCACGAGAGCAGGTAGGGCTGAGCCAAAAGGTGTCAGGCCACCTGCAGCACTGCTAGTTCACCATGAGAAGGAACAGCAATATATCATTCAGTCCACCTGCGGCATGCATCTGAAAACTGGCCAGAGTGACAGAACTGGTTATTTGCCTTTGGCATTCTAGTTTTGCATTTCACAAGCAATTTTCCTCATAAAACTCAAGTGCACCACGCACATAGAAAAGTGAATATTAAAGAACTGAGAACTATTTGCTTTTCTTATTGAGTGTATGAATCACAAGGAAGCCACCATTTCACATCAGGTTCTTAAGTTCTGGATTCAAAGAACATTCATGGTCTTAAATTTAGACTGTGGTGCAATGGCGTGTGAGATACAGTGAAATAAAACCTTTGTGTTCCCAGAGCAGAGCTCAGATGTGGCACCCAGCAGTTCCCAGGAGATCTCCATGGCTTTACTTTATCTGCTCCAATGGGACTGGCACCACAAACCCAACAGTACTAAACTTTGCAAAAGTAAAAAATCACGTTTAAAACGTTCACACAGCAGATGAGTGATTTCACCCCCATGGCAATCGGTAATGCCTCTTGGCTCTGCCTCTTTCTGTATTCCAGAGAAATAGTTCTACTCTCATTAAGTCATTTTCCATTCATTCTCTAAAGGCCTTACAAATGAGTTTGTCTCCCAGCAGAAAAGTGCCCTTCAGTTTTCTGGAAAGTTGCACCACTGGACTACAAAACAAACATATTTTGCCTCTTACACAGGAAGAGCAACTGCAAGTATTGAACACCTGGGTATAGGAGCAGCCATCAGTGGTCAGCAGATTGCAGTTGGCTTCATTAAAGAGATGAAGTCTGATTTAGAAAGTTAATTACGAATTAAAGAAGAGTTCTTTTCTGGTGCACGAAGATGTGCACAAAGCATTCTGACAAACATTACAGTGAAATACAGCATGAATCTAATACACAATGCTCACTGCAAGGTCAAATGCCAAGGAGTAAAACTGAATAGGGTAAAAAAAAGAACCTGCTGTATGGAGGGCTTTGCTCAAATGATGAAACCCACATGAACTGACAGCAAATGACACCAAAAAGAAAGCTGCAGAAGGACAGGGACAGACCCAGCTGCCCTCAGTGCAGCCCTGGTGTGTGCAGCAGCATCACCCCCACACTTCTCATCCTCATGCTGGGTCACCACCAGACTCCCTTCTACTCCTCTCTCACCTTCACGCAGCTTCATTTTGTATTTTTTTGCAGAATAAGCCTATCAAAGTTCAGAGGGGAAAATGGTAGCAAATAGGGGCTTTTAAATGGGTCTTGTGATTGGGTTAATTTTATAACCATTTAATGATTTCCAGGGAAGAGCTTGATGGCTATGGACTGGAGCAGCTCTCCTTGCCATTGCACAAGACACTTGGGAGCGACCTCTGCCCACCCCGAGGCAGATGCCGCCTTGGCTGCACTGAAGGCACCGGGGATTTTCCACACCAGGACTTGCTGAGCTGCAGCCCAGGGAGCAGAGCCCCACAGCTCCCATGGGCAGGCTGGGAGGGAGATGGGGTTGAGATGCTGGCAGGGAATGGGGGTCAGATCAGGAGAACGGCTCAACAGCTGTGAACCCAGACACAGCACCAAGGCATGGGGGTGAGCTGTCAGTCCCACTGCCAAGCTGGAGGACACTACAGGAGCTTCAGCTGGATCTAGACCCTACAGGCACAGCAAGCTCCTAGCAGACCTGGTGCTTGAAAGAGCTCTGCCTAAAGGCACAGCCATGCTTTGGGTTTGCTCCACCAACCTCTGCATGTTCCATGGCCAACACAGCCTCAACACCTCTCATTGACTCTCCCCAACACCCATCCTATGATCAAGCAAATGAGGAACATAAAGGTTCTTCCAGAACCTCAATCCCAATACCAGAGATATTTTGGCCAGAGCTGGAGCTTTTCAAGATTCATTATCCCACTGCCATTACAAAGGAACTTCCTATCCATGACACTCAGAGCTCCTGAGTACCAGCAGCTGTCAGCATCTCGTTCACAAACTGTCCCCAGTTCTCAGCTCTGATGGTGTCACAGGCCTCCCAGTCACACTGCCTGCTGTCCAATAGGATGGGTATTTGAATCCGATTTCTACCAACACAGCTCCTGCAAACATTATGTAATCTGGACATAAAACAAGCCCTGTTTACCAGCATTCCTGCCAGCGGAGTTCTTTTGCTCTGGGTATTTGCGGAGTGGCTGGAAAGGGGCCCTTAACATAGGGGCATCAGCTGCTAGAGCTGCAGTGAACGCTGGTGAAGATACTTTTGCTCTGGAGTTACCCTAAAGACACAAAGCTTATGAAACACAAAACACTTCAAAAAGTATAAGCAATTGGCAGAAAAACAGAATCATTTTCTCTGCTTTACAAAAGGGACAGTAGAGGCTCGGGAAAAGTAGACAAACTGACCACAATCACGTAGGGAAATAATGACAAAGATGGGCATCTTCCAGAGAACTGGCCCTGCCTCACAGGTCTGAGCCTCACATGCACTCCTGGGGGCAGCGATGGCTCCTGCAGCTTCAGATGGACTGCAGAGCTGGAACAGCCCAGTGGCAGTTTGACACCATGTAATGATAGCAGTACTCCCTGCCTGAAGACAGCTCCATTCCTGCATTATTTTTAGGAAAGATCCACCATATTTTAAAACAGAAAAAGAACCATTTTCATGACGGTGAGCCATTAAGTTCACTCTTAGTGTCATGTTGCTGTGATCTGACAGCTTCCGTCCTCTGCATCTCATTTTATGCACTACCTGGGCTTCTCTGAACTCTGGTTATGATGGATGCGCCCTCACAACTCTTCGTACTTTGAAAGAAACAGGCCAAGCTCATAAAGTCTTTCACCACTGTGGCATGTTCTCTTGTCCAGTTTGCTAAAGCCATCTTTGAACTATGGAAGCAAGGCTGCAAGGGCATTCTGCTAAAAGCCACCACCTCAGCAAACAGCAGCCTGTGGGCTCTCATTGCCTATGCTCAACTTTCACGTGCCTGTACACACAAATACCATACTGAGCCTCTTGGCTATGGGTATCCAGTCTACTAGTCATGTTCAGCTAAATACAGGGTGCCATCTTCCAAGCCCTTTTTGGGGAATCTGATTTCCAAGGGGATTGCAGCTCAGCCCAGCTTGTGGTCAGCATTCCTGGCAATCCCAACAGCCTATCAGATTCCTTTTGTCCACACATCCTGAAATATTGCTCATTACCCTCAACACCCTGATGAGGAATTTCTTCCTCATCCCTTCTCATGTCTTCTATGGTCCTTAGCTTCCAATTAACATTAATTCTTGCCAGCTTTTCTTTCCCTGCCCTGAGCATCACTGCTGTCACCTTCTTTGTGCCAGCTTGCTGAGCCAGGCTTGCCTTGACCAAAGCTTGCAGTGCACATAATCACACAGCTTCCAGTTATCATTCTTCTTTCTTCATCGAAGTTAAAAGAGATGAAAATAAGAGCTTATCTTTGCATTCAGTTTTGTGAAATTGGCTTTTCTAAATCACCAGGCACATACGTAACTCAGAGGTGGACTTTGTGCACGACACATAACAGGGCTACCACCACCATTTCCCTGCCGGGCTGCTCTCCCACCAGCAGCCACTCGTGTTCCTACAACTCAGCAAGCACTGCTCCAGCCCAAGATTCAGACCCCTACCCCCTGCACACTGTGCCCCCAGCTCGCCATGTCGCCTACATTTGCATCACCCATTCCCTCACAATGCCTTCCATTGGAGATGCCCCATGTTCCTTGCTTTTGAGCGCAAGCAAAGTCATTTTTCTTCTGGAAGTTCTTAAAGTCTCCTTGTTCTCATCAGGAGGACTCATTACATCCAAGTCGATTTTAAATTGCTCTATGTCCACTGAGGAAGTC